ATCTTTTTCCCAACGTGCTATGTGTACCTTAAGTGATTTAAAAGTCTATCATAATTTTTTTTAGAATTACTTTTCTTGTGAACTGGTCATATCCTACTTTACATTACATCTTTTTTATTCACAACCTCTTTGAAAAAGTCTGGATAGCATACAAATGTCCATTCTGAATGCCATACTTCTTAGCCATTCTCTGAACAGCGGGAAGGGATCCTGAAATACTAACAGTCGCCCACTGCAATGCTAATTTCCCAGTGTCATTTCTCAGCACGAATCAGAAGGAAGAGCTACCAATCTCCCTGGGTTTAATGTTAAAATAGCAACCCTCATTTGGATTAGGAAAGCCTACCACGTCCACAAATCCCCAGATCTGAAACTATCTAATGGATTTATCTAGCACCCAACACATAGTACAAGGGTGCTGTTCTAGCAGTTTCCAATTGACTTCTAAAACTTATAATTAGCCCATTCTAGGGGCTGCCTATTTTTGTTGGCTTTTTTGGTTAGTGATGGAATCACTTCTTTGCAAGGTAGCAACAGATGGGGCTAAATTTCTGGCTGGCCTGTTGCTCAACATAATACTTGAATTATTTATGGGGCCCTGAAGATTCACTGTATGTTATGCAGCTTCTCCTTCCCACTGGCTCCTTAATTGCTAGGCCCTTGATATATTTTGACTCAAGTGCCTGTGAATGGGGTGGGTAAAAAAAAAACAAAAATTCCAAGTCACTATCTTTACTTAGCACGCTGTTGTTTTTTTTTTTAATCCGTGATACAAAGAGGCATTGAAGAAAATGAGCCAACCAGAGGGCTTACAGGGGAATTATAACCAAAGATCACTGTAAACTATGCTCAAATGGATTTTTAGAATGATTGCTTGATACCTACAGATCTCTTAAAGCTCTCCTGTCAAGAATATGACTGAATAAAACAAGGCATAAGCTAGGAGCTGTAATTCACTTTCTCTAGGTTTGTCCAGGTCAGTTTCATGCATAAGTCATGTCTTATAAAAACTGTCTTTTAAAAAGCAACAGACACAGATGTTTAAAAAAAATTCCACTCTTCAACAAAAAGGTATTATTAAGTACCATGTGCAAGGGACTGTGCTAGGACTTCTGGAAATGCTATGGTGTTCCATCTTTATCCAGTGAATATCTTCTTTAAATATGATTTCATGTCTATATTGAGTAGACTAAGCAAATTTTCATGATTGAGGGACACTGGAAGACTCCACCTGTCCAAGAATGTCTTCTTTCATCCCACTCTAAACTGTGATGACAAAGTATTGCCATCCCACCTTCCCTGACTTAAAATTCCTATCATTAAAGACTTGAATTTAAGTTGGTTAGCAAAGACAGGACTATTGTCTGAAGAAAGCCCTATAAAATATGACCATAAGAGGAAGGACAGTCCTGAAAGCTTCCTTTTAATTTCTATCAATTTGCACAGATTAGGTTTATGGGGTTTGTCAATTTCACATTGTGAGGTAGAGAACCTGAGGTCTTCCTGCCTCAAAGTCTCTCCCAATCCAGTCCATCCTTTACTCAGCAGTCAAACTGACCTTTCCTAAGGGCATCTGGTCATGTCATTGCCCCTATTCAATCAACTCCAGTGGCCTCCTCTTCAGGATCAAATATAAAATCCTGTTTAGCTTTTAAAGCCTGCCATAACCTGGCCCCTTCTTACCTTTCCAGTCTTCTTATACCTTACACACACCCTCTCCCCAACATACCCTAGTCCCCAACATTCCAGTCTTCTTATACCTTACATACACCCTCTCCCCAACATACCCTACAATCTAGTATTTCTGGCCTCCTCGCATTTTCACTGGTTGTCCCCAAGCATGGAATGCTCTCCCTCCTCATTTCAACCTTTTAGCTTTTCCGGCTTCTTTCAAGTCTCAGCTAAAACCCCAACTTCTACAGGAAGCCTTGCCCAAGCCACCTAATGCTAGTCCCTTCCTTCAGTTGATTATCTCCAACATCTATCTTGTTTGTAAGCAGCTGTTTGCATATTGTCTCTCCCATCAAAATGTGAGTTCCTTGAGAACAAGTACTGGCTTTTACCTGTCTTTGTATCTCTATTGCAAGGCTAGTTAACTGTCTGGGTGCTACAGAGAATATAGGGATAACCATGGGTGGACATTTTAACGGGAGATAGATATCAATAGAATAGTAAGTTCTGGGTGCCCAGAGCTGACAGATGGGGACACTACACTTGGACGGGGCACACCAATACTCCAGGAGACCCCGAGCAACAGTGAGGGCACTGGACCCAAAGAATGGAACATCCAAGGCAGATACTAAAAAGAAGCATATAATGAGATTAGAGTCCAAGAAGGAAGTAAAGGACAAGAAATTATCAAAATAAACAGGCTACCTTATAGTGAGATCAAGGTAGTAGATCACTACCTCTACCACCACTACATCCAAAAAGGTACCTAGGTTGAGTCCAGAGAAGCCAATCATTGTGCTGAAACCAACAAGTTTCCAGAGGTAAAATAAAGCATTGTGTGATTCTTGTTGGCCACACCAAATGTCCTCCCATTCCCTCCTATTTCTGCCAAATCTCATCATCATCCACTCCAGGTGCTGTATTATCTCAATTATTCTAGAAACTGGCTAAAGAATGGTGCCCCGAGGGTAAAACCTCCCCAAGAGGAAGATTTGTGCTTTAAAAAGTTATGTAATCTAGAAAATTTTGAAGCACTTTCAGTTTTGAACCTTTTTTTGCTTTTATTTCCATGTAGGTTTGTTACAGTTAAACAGTAGTTTGTTTACTCTCAGCCTGCTGGCTAAAATTGGCAGCAAATATGTAGGCACACTCTAATCTGGCACTCTCTGAACAATTTTTTTTAAAGTAGCCATAAGATCTTCCACTACTCTCTATGCAATACCTCCCATGCCATCAAACTTACCTAAAATTCTAGTGTTCACTCAAGAAAACGTGATTTGTCCAGAATAACTGTGCATTCTTTTCTTTATTAGCTAAGTGAATGTGGGCAAGTTCCCAAGCTTTAGTTGCAACATCTGTGAAATGGAGGTAATATCTGTACCTCACAGGCTTATCATGAGGATAAAACAAGATAATTTAATATAAAGGGATCTATATTTTTTTTTCATTCAACAGACATTTATTAAGAAAAAAAACAAAAAGTCCCTCTGCTCAAAGAGATTATGTTCTACTGAGAGATGTGACATGTGACAAGTAGGGAGTAAGAAGGGATCCAAAAAGATGCTCTGGTAATACGTGGAGAGGGAAAGTATAATATCAGCTGAGAATGATGGGAGAAGGCCACACAGAAGGTAATTCCAACTGGGCCTTGAGGCAGCTATATGGCACAGTGGAAGAAGCGCTGGGCCTGGAAGCAACCTGAGCTCAAACTCAGCCTCAGACACTTACTGGTGTGACCTTGGGCACTTAACCACGTTTGCCTCAGTTTTCTCAACTGGAAAATGGTACTGATAATAGCACTTACCTCTCCCAGGATCAAATGAGATAACTGTTAAGTGCTTAGCACGGTACCTGGCACATAATATGTGCTATAGAAATACTAGATATAAAAATAAGCATTCCTATCATTATTATTAAAATAAGGATTTTGAAAGGCTTACAACTTCATCACTCAACTGAAACTATTCTCTCCAATGTTTTCAATGACCACTTAATTGCCAAATTCAATTGTTTTTTTCAATTCTCATTCTTTTTGAATTCTCTGAGAAACAGAATAAAGTATGATTATGGTGAAATAGAGATAATCCCAAATTGGGAAGACCTAGGCTCAAGTCTCTTTCTCTCCCCCACCACTCTACGTAATAAATAACAATAGCTAACATTTCTATACCACTTACTACGTTCTAGGCACCGTGTTTAAGTGCTTTACAATGATTAACTCATTTGATCCTCAAAACAACCTTGGGATGGAGGCGTTGTTATTTTCCCATTTTACAGATGAGGAAACTGGGCAAAACAGAGGTTAAGTGAGAACCATTCAGATAGTAAGTGTCTAGAGCTGGATTTGAACTTAGGTCTTCCTGACTCTACGTCTAGTGCTCTCTCTACTACGTCACCTCATTGCCTCCAACAAGTTGCCAAATCTTATCAATCCTATTTCCAAAACATCTCTTGTATCCATCTCCTTCTCTACACTTGGCCACTAAACTAATTCAGTCTCTCAATACCTATCATCTGGACTTTTGCAAGAGCCCCCTAATATTTTTTCCTGCATCCAGTCACTCTCTTTTTCCATAGCAACTATATTCCACACAGCTGCCAAAATGATATTCCTGAAGCACAAATTTTGACCATGTCCCTCTCCTGCTCAAGAAGCACTTTGATCCTGTTGCCTCTGAGATCAAACAAAAATCTTTTACCATTTAAAGTCCATTATGATCTGGCTCCAACCCCTTTCCAGACTCCTTCACCCACTCTATCTATGGTCCGGTGAAATTGACAGCTTTGCTATCCTTCCCACATAAAATGCAGCCCCCACATCTGTGTCTTACCATGGCTTATCCCCTATACTAGGAATGCATACTATCCTTACCTCTCCCCTTGGGATCCCTAGCCTCCCCTTCAAAGCTCAGATTGAGCATTTCCCACTCTCCATCACACCCCAATTACCTTGTGTTTGGTTTAGATTTTTTTTTTGTACAGATTTTTTTTAATCTCCATATACGAATGTACATTGTTTCCCCCAACAGAATGTAAGCTTTTTGCAGGCATTACTATTTTGTTTTGACTTTGCAGCCCTGGTCCCTAGCACAGTGCTGGGCACATCATAGACACGTGGTAATGCTTAATTATTATAGACCTGGCAAGGGAATAGGGGGAAATACAGGAAATTATTGGTTTAACTATTTATCACGTTCAGCTAAGTACATCCATTCCTTTTCTTCAGGTGTCTCTCAGGTTGGCAAAGTTCACAGGTAAGTGACTCACCGATCTCCCTCTCCCCCCAACCCCCACTCCAGCATCATTAGCTGCTGGGTCACTGTTCTTACCATTTCTCCATCTGTTCAGTTCCATTTCCAGATGCTGGATAACATTCTTCAAGCTCTTGTTTTTGTCTTTTTCTTTCTCATACTTCTTCTTCCATTCTTCAGCAGTTAGTTCTAGGTTCACAGAGACTGTATTCTTGATGGTCTTGGCTCTAAGGGGGAAAAAAGGCACAAAGTGTATGAATAATCCCTAAGCACCAGTACAATTGAGCCCAGATTTCCCATGTTTAATTTCAAAAGCTTCTAATTTGAGAACACATTTTGTTATATAAAAACTGCCCCACCATATTTCATTCAGCTTCCAAGCAAGGTCCCCTTCCCAATGAATAGCAATATAAATAACACCACTATTTTCCCAGACTTAGGTCTTTGAAGTAATCTGTGACTCCTTCTTTTCCATTGCCTCCCACATCCAAACAGTTGTCAACCCCTACCAATTCTTTCAAAATGACTCTCAGATGTTTTCTTTCCTCCACTCCCCCACATCTAGTCAAGGTCTTTATCAACCTTATGTCTGGATTACTGATCTTTCTTCTAGCCTTGAAACTTTCCTCCTTTCAACACATCCTACACACCAGTGTCAGACTAATTTAAAAAAACAACACTTTCCTCATTACACAGAGAGAGACAGACAGACAGACAGACAGACAGACAGAATTTTCCCAAAAACATTAGTGCACAGTGTACTAAGACTTTGGGGATATGACAGATGTCATATCATGTCATATCATGTTTGCTATTACACTCTCCATAAAATTACTAAAAGTTTTATTTTTTATATATTCTGTTTTAACTTACATATGTACATGTTATTTCCTGTCCCAACCCCACCCCCAAAAGAATACAGGCATCTTGCAGCGAGCGACTATTTCTTTTCTGTCAATGCATCTCCAAAATCTAATAGGCAATTAATAAATAGCTGTAGAATGCTGAATGAATAGAACTACTTAAGAATCATTTGAGAATCCAGAAGAGGATTCAAATGCTATGGGAATGACCAGTATCCAAGGGGACCACCACAGAAGAAAGCTCACTACTGCACAAATGGAAACAATCCCACATGAGAGATTTTCTTCTTGAAATGTGTATTTCCTGTAGAAAGTCGTCCCTAGGGTACAGTGAATTGGAGCAATTGCTCCTGGGCACAGACTGTGTAGCTGTAATTACTGGTAGATGGATAGTGACTGAAGGAGACAGCTGGTCAGGGAGAAGACAGTGAAGCTTGGGCTAAACAAACCAAAAGAAGAAAAAAAGACCTAAGACTGATAACACATATATGCATTTATACACATATATATTTATGGACTAATTACATATACACATGTAAAGATTAGCTTATGAATATGTGTATATATATTAATATAATTAGCCCTTGAACAGCCATAGCTTTATGTTAAAAAAGGAAAAGCCATAATTCATCAAAAAAACAACATAATTCCGTTTTTAGGATTCATGCTTTAAGGGACCTTCCTTTCAAGGAAAAGTTTTGTCTAAATTACACATGTTTGCTACAGGTTTGATCTTTTCAAACAGTGTTTCTTTGTCAGGGATGTTAAAACATGAGCTATCTGGTATGTAAGTCTGGTTAATTACTGCTGTCATCAAGTGACATTTTTGACGTGATTCTGGGTCTAGTAAAATAAACCCAGTAACATTCAGCAATGGTGTAAGCCTGTCATGCTAAAAATTAATTTCCAGTGTAGACAACTAAATAACCTAACTGGCAAGAGAAGAATTGTGAGACACAGCTTAAGAATTGGTATACCTTTCTTGAGCTCTCTGTGGCTCCAGACCATAGTCTCCCAAAGACCTTCAACTCTAATGTCTCATAATAACAGCAATTTTATTATTATTTCAAAGTTCTTTGGAATTTTATATCACTTTGTGTGCAGGAAATTCAAGCAGCTTTATAAATGCTTTGCAGACACAAATACACTGAACTAAGCGCTGCTGGTATCTTAAGTTAGAGAGTCAAAAATAACCAACAGGTAAAGGCTGGTGGATGCTGAAGGATGAGTTTTCAATATTACTCTTCAAAGCACAAGTATCCCCCTTGATGAATTTTATGACCTTAAAAGGCACCATAATAATAATAATTCTATTTATTTGGTGCTTTTTATAGTCACTTGGTACAAAGCTCTTTTGTGTATCCTCAAAGCCCTATGAAGTGAGGGCTACTATTGTACCCATTTTACAGATGAGGAAACTGAAGTTCAGAAAAGCTAGGTAAATTGCTCAAGGTCAGCCAGCTAGCAGTTATCTGAGGCAGAATTTGAATCCAGGTTTTCTGGAGTCCAAGTCTGGCACTCTATCCATTACACCACACTGCCAGGGAATTATGATCATGAGTGTGAGTAATTATTACGAACAAGCATAGGATGGAGCCCTTAAGAAAAACTATTAATTGTGTAAACTAGTCTAGCTTATTGCTATAGTAACCAGTCCCCTTCTGAATATTCTTCTAGTTATGAAGAGAATAATTAAGTCTTTCACAAGCATTTAGAATCCAACATGGTGGGAAAACGAGCCTCATTTTTCTCTCCTAGACATCTGTCAGCTCCATACAGTATACAACAGTTTCCTCTTTATCCACTAAAGGTAGGACATGGAAAAAAATGGCTTAAGTGGGATTTAAATCAGACATAAAACTTTCCTGACACTAGAATGTTGGAGTCACAAAGGGGGATTATCTAATTGCTGTGCTTAGAGTAGATTTAAAATTGAACAGATACTCTCTGTCCAAAAGTGGCCTAAAAGAGAACCCATATGTACAAAAAAATGTTTATAGCAGCTCTTTTCGTGGTGGCAAAGAATTGGAAACTGAGGGAATGCCCATCAATTGGAAAATGGCTGAATCAGTTGTGGTATATAAATGTGATGGAATACTATAGTGCTGTAAGAAATGACAAAGGGGATGGTTTCAGAAAAGCCTGTGAAGATTTATATGAGCTGATGTAAAGTGTAGTGAGTAGAGCTAAGAAAATATTGCACACATTAACAGCAGTATTGTAACAATGACCAACTGGGAAAGACTCTGATAAATATAATGATCCATAATAACTCCAAAGGACTCATAATGAAAAATATTATCCAGAGAGATAATATTCCAGAGAGAGAACAGATAAATTCTGAGTGCAAATTGAAGTGTATTTTTTTCACCTTTTTCATTTTTCTTCCTTCACCCACTCTCCCCCCAAGATGGCTAATATGGAAATGTTTTTGCATGACTTCAGGTATATAATGGGTATCATATTTCATGCCTTCTTAATTGGTGGGGAGAGGGGTGGAGGGAGGGAGAGAATTTGGAACTAAAAAAAATTTAATGGCCTAAGAGAGCCTTTAAAATAAGAAAGAAAAGTTTTATCAACCCACTTTTCCTTGGAAGATAAATAGCAATGGAACCCAAGACTCATTGTACTCTTTCTTACTTACTCAGAGTGAATCATAGACAGTCAAGAACCGAAAGGGACTTTAGAAATCATCTCAAAATATCAAGGTTAGAAGGAACCCCAATGATCATCTAGTCTAAACCTCTTATTTTATAGATGAGGAAAATGAGGCCAAGAAGGGGAAAAGGATTTACCCCAATGTCATACACAAGGCCAGGACCATTACCAATTCTTCTGCCTCTAGAAAAGCACTCTTTAGAACTCTTTTCATTGTGCCAAAATACCTGTTTGTTCTTGTGAAAGTGACAATTACAGGTGGCCCTAAGATAAGAAAACCTATCATATCAAGACAGAAAAAAAAATCCAGCATTTATAAAAGAGTAATTTTTCACTGAACAAAAAAGTTTTCTCCATAAAGTTCCTTTAAGTGAAGAGCTGCCTGGTGCAATTAAAAGGAGATTACACTTTTTAAAATTTTTCTTATCTTTCCCAGAACATGTCTATTATGAATGTTAGTTTCTTAATCTATAAAATATGAATAATGATACTTCTCTCCTCAGTTCACCCACCAGAAAAGGATTTTGGTGGTGGAATCTTCTACTTTACTACTTCTTTGACATTGAACAAGACATTTAACCTCTCTGAGTCTCAGTTCCTTAATGTGCAAAAGGAAGGGGATGTAATTGATGACCTCCAAGGTCCCTTTCAGCTCAAATCTATGATCCTATGAATAGCAACTGTAATGATAATTAAACCCACCATCCTAGAGGCCTACTATATAATATCTCACTGTGGCATGGAGATTATCCTTCGTTATGTTGGTGACATAAGATGGTGGTGATTTTTTTCAGCCACCATAATTCACAAAGACTATCTATCCACTAGGAAACAATAAGTTGCTAGAAGGAATAACCACAACTATTGGAATCATAAATCCTTGAAGTGAATAATTCAATATTAGGTGATTGCCAGTCAGAGACATTCATGATGTCAGGGCAGCACTTTAAAAATCCACCCATTCTCTCAACTCAAAACTGGTAGCCACCAAAATTTATCCAATAAGGTCCCATTCCAAGCTACACAGCCATGGCAAGCAATGAACAAAATCCTTGAGATGAACTACTTAGGGAAAGAAGTATAATTAGTTCTTAAGTTTATGGACCCTAACAGCAGGATCCTCTTAACACAAATGAGCCAAAACATGCAAGTGAAATTAGCGAGGCATCTGTTTTTTTGCATCTTTCCTTTGTTTGTGCTATGTTCAAAGGAGTTAACTACAGCTTAAATCAAATATATTCTTGCCTTGCCCCTACTATAAATCTTATTTGCCCAAAGGGGAGCAAGCTATTCTCAAGTTAAACAAAACCTCAAAACTAATGAACATTAACCACAACTGGGGAGATGAAATTAACCACAGAAGATACAGACTGTAGGGCATACATAAAAAGGAACAGATAATGGCAATGCATTTTCCAAGCAGAAGTTTATGATGATGCAAACAGACAAACTGACAAGCGGGTAATTACATTAGCTAGAAAGACAGATTCCTGGCACTGGATATATTGAACAAGACTTCCTGTGTGGTTCTGAAAGATAGGATGAAAATTTAATAATGAAGATACCCAATGCCCACAAGTCTACAGTTAAAACTATAACCACTGCTTTTCCTTTTCAGCAAAGTTATGGTCTTTCCTTTCACTGTATCAATAGCATCACATCCTTTTCCAAAGCACTTCCACTCCAAAGCTTTAAGAACTAACCAT